GGTTTCGTTAGGCGGAAGAACTAAGATAGTACCACCCTAAAACCTAAAAAACCTAAAAAAAAAAAAAGCCCAGAGGATCAACTGAAAACTATTCGAATAGGAAAGTTCGAAAGTCTATGGATAGACATATCAACATACTTAAGCCAATAATTTTCCTGTATACTAGTACTAATCAAATAATAATTTTAAAGGATTCAATTTATAACAAAAAACATAAAATTCCTAGAAAACAAATACAATTTTTAAATGTGCAAGATCTATTTGAAGATAAAATAACATGAAAATCTAAATATCTGAAGTGATAAAGCTGGTTGGGAAAACAGTATTGAAAATATATTGATTTACCCCACATTTATCCATCAAAGCAATTCTAGTCTAAATTCAGCAGCATTTTTTATTCAAGTCTTATCCTGCCAGATGTCAAAACATATGGTAAGCTATAGTAATTAAAACGGTCTAGTACTGGTGCAGGTATTGACAAATTGATCAATGGAACAGATTAGTAAACCAAGAATTAAACCCAAGTATATGTGAAAATTAAGTATACAATAAAGGTGGTACCTCAAATTAGTAGACACACAATGGACTAATCCACATGTGAGATTGTGCCAATTATCTATTCATTTGGGGGGAAAATGAAATTCACTCCATCCATCCACAGAACCTTCAGATGAATTAAAGAACAAAACTTTTAAAATGTTAGAAGAAAAATATAGGTGAATTTTTTTAATGAATTTAGAATGTTAAGTCCTTCCTAAAAAAAAAAAAGACAAAATGTAGAAACTATAAAATTTTTGTAGATTTAACCTAGTAAAATTTATAAAATTTTATAAGTCAAAATACACCATAAGTCAAGTTAAAAGACAAGCCAAGTTAAAGGCTAGGAGAAAATATTTATAACACACTTAACAGGTAAAAGATTAATATTCAGAACACACAGAGTTTCTAACAAAAAGGAGAGAAAAGACAACTCACCTGTAATATTTCATGAAAGAAATAGACAATTCACAGAAAATTAATAATTCACCTAATAATCATGGAAAGTTGCATTAGTCATGGAAAAGAAAATCATTTGACAAAAAGTAAAAAAGTATAGATACCAAGTGTTGGCAAACATGAGAAGAAACAGACATTCTCATACACACTATACATGTAAACTGGTGAAGCCAATTGATGAAGGCTATTGAAAACATCTGTCAAAATCTCAAATGCACACATCAATTGATCCAGCCATTCCACTCCTAGGACTCTTCCCAAAAGAAATACTTGTCTGTGTGTCCCACACAATTCCTTGTACAAGTTTTTGTACAAAGATCAGGTATATCCATCACAGTATTGTGTGCAGTAGTGGAAAAATAAAAGCCTAACTTATTATTAATAGACAGGGGAATAGTTAAATAAATTATGGTCTATCCATTCCTCAGAAAGCAGAGTGCATTAGAGATATGGCAATAGTAAGATCTCCACTTAGTGAAAAAAGCAAGCAGCTAAATGATCTGTGATTCATACGCATATATGTATAAATGCACAAAAAGGGGAGAATCAC